AAAAGTAAGGAATGAAAAGAAAGTTTGTTAACTGTTAGGTTGTCAGCCTCCATAACTCTTTCATACCTGGAGGCTATTTGTGTCGTCTTTCGTTTCATGAAGCTCATGATCTCCGTTTCTATACCATCAGCCGAAAATGACCTGTATTAAATGCAGTCTGCAGTGAGAAATATAGCTCGAGATCTCTTGTTTCTTTCCCATGAACTTGTAGTCATTTCTCTACCTCAGAAAGACGAGTGAACCGACTGGGGATCGAATCGTAGCTAGATTCGTTCCGAGTTTGGCGCTTTACTGACTGAGCAACCTCAACGTGGGCAAGGCACAATGAATTAGCACTCTTGTGCTAAAGTATCACGTCAAAACCGAACATGCTTAATAACAAAATTTTTTAAGGTTTTCTCTGGCACCGGTAGCCTTTGAACTCTATCGCTCGAATTCTAAATTAGTAGTTGGTAATGCTTTGGAGTGGTATATCAGCCGTACATTAAAAATTTTTCATTATTGTTCAATTAAATCGTCAAGTTTAAATTGGCGAGGTCAGATCACTCAGTAAACTTTGTGACAATTGACCTGTCAATTTTTGGCGGTGAATTATGTTCCCTGAGCAGGCTTTAGGTACTTCATTTAAATCAAACATTCGTATCACATGATTAAGGATATTTGCTTAGTGGCTAAGCTAGGTCATAAATGATACATATGATTTATGTGTAAAATGAGATACTGAGTGAACAAGCGCATGTATATCTGTTCATTACATTGAACTAACGGTGTTAGTTTTAATGCGTAGATTCTTAGGAAATTTCCTTTGAAGGCGTATTGCTTACTGTCCTAGCGTATGACGGTGCTTGTAAAAGAATTTGTTTTACTACGTGCTTGGAAATAGTTAGCTTTCCGGTAATCGATTTGTACGTACTCAGGAACTGACGAAAACGCATAGCCAATTCTCCCAAAGATAACCGACAATGCACTTGAACACAACGTACATATGACATTTCAAGTTGTCGACCTTAGCTGCTAAATAATATCATTGCTCTTGTCCAAATATGTTCGTTTGGTTGTTATTATGCTAGACTGACAAACTCAGTATCTCTGTGCATGGTGAAACACGACGAAGAGATACAGATTATTCTCGAATGTTAATCCCCATACCTTGTTTACAAAGTCTGTAAAAGTTTCCCGTTGGAAAAACACGACGTCTTTCGCACATAGTACATAGCTTAATATATACACGGGCAACCATTATAACGATGTCCGTAAATTCTACTTTTCAAACTCATTTGGCAGGTCTTGATCTGGTAATATGTTAATCACCGTTACGTCAAAGAAGATTGCTTGACAGCTAAACAGAACAGCTGATGTAGTCGGTGAGCAACCAACCTCCAATTTACGGTCGTGCAATTGCAGGTTATTTTTCAAATTCATATACAATGGATTACATTTAGAAATACTGATCCACTCGTTCATACTAAGGGTGATTCAGCTGCTGAGTTTTTCTGGTGTCCCTTATTTCATACAGAAAGTGTATATTTGAATAAAATGTTGAGGAAATAATGTTCGGCTTAAAAGGTAAGCAGATTTCAAAGGACATCGTGTAACATGGACATATGTTGCAATATTTTGTGCAATATTTTGTTGATTTAAGAAGAGCAACTTCTGTACAGTTTCTTCGTTGGCATGACTTACGAACCGTAAGATTCGAAACGGGCAGCGTACCGACCGTCCCAGCCGTCGACTAGATTTGTCCGGTGTCAATTTCGGCAAAGCTGGTCACCGCTAGGCCAAGACCTCGTCAACAACTGCGCCTCGGTGTCGCGGTTCCTTTTCCCACGAATGCTAGAACAGGCTTACGTAGCCGGCG